ACATATATATATATATATATATATATATATATATATATATATATATATATATAGGTTTTTTAGTCTTTCCGAAAGAATGGGCAATGCTCATTGAGCAGTGTTTAACTTCCGGAACGTCACTAATGACACGTATTCAAAATGGCGGCCGAGGCGATGGTAAGTGGCAAAATGAACTCTTTCCTCTAGCTATATATTGACTACTCTCTACTCCTTAAACAAATAAGACATTGCTGTGTAATTGCGGCAGAGGAAATTAACTGAAGCGATACATGGAATCTTAACGTAAAGATACTATTTACAGGAGTTTATTGTTTGTATGTTTGCAATGTTGCTAACTTAGTTAGCCTGCTAGCTAAAGCTAGCATGGATGTCACTGAGCTCTGGCTGTTGCAGTGATTCTCTTAAATTATGAAATTGTTCGGATACACGTCCAAGAGACATCGGGTTCGTCAGTTATTGGGCTGTCATCCTTGCAGATGTGAGATAAAGCAGAACTTTTCCAGCTAGCTTCAGCACTTACGTCAGGAAGCGTCAAGTTGAGTCTGGTACTGTCGCTGTGGTTATTGTGACTGAAAGGTGTTAGCATGGTAGAAGAGAATGAAATTCAACAAAATACCCACAGAAACCTGGACTAAAACTGTTTCTATTTAACTATTTTGTCATGTTGACACTATGCAGCTCATACAACATGTTGTGCTGGTTCGTTACCCATCCTGTCATAATTTACTGTTATTGACATTTCAGTTGTTAATTAAACTTTGTGACGTTAGGCTCACTTACATATAAATTACATCAGCAATAAACCAACATTTATATTCTTGATGTTGGCATAGTACAATGCGTGTCGGGATTGTAATGTGTTGCCTTTCTTATCCTGTTTGTGTTGAATGATCATGATTACGTTGTAGAATTTAAGTTTAGGTAAAAAATCCTTAATACATCACACTTGTAATTTTACAGGTTTTGAATATCAGCAACTTTAAAGGATTCCTTGTTGTGGTATTCTACTTTTTCTACCAATGTTTTTTTTTTTTTTTTTCCCTTTGGAAATGTTGATTAGATTTACTTGAAACAACATTTAGTTCAGTGTATTTTTTTTTCTTAATTGCATTATGTTGCAGTGTTTTAGATGAGTATTGATCAATAGATTGATATTAACCCTGATTTTTGTAGTTCAAAAATATCCCCTACCATTATCTTTATTTAGTGCTAAATCACAACTAAGTTAAGTTTCAGACTCATAGTTAGTCATTTACTCTTCAAGTTTGATTCAAATTCATCTATACAGTTTTTCAATCTGTCCATTCTGGAGCCAGCTGCTCATTAAAGGAAAAAAACAAAAACAATCTATCACCCTCCTATTACTTCCTGTTGTCGTCTTTGTCGTTTTCACCAGTCGTAACATTCGGCTGTTGTGCTTGTGCCTCAGATGATCTTAAAAAAGTGTTTCTATTGCAGTTTTGTGTTTTGTGCATTGTATCCATTTTGATACATCTGTAAAACCACCTCATCCCAGTGCAAAAACTTTTTAATGAAAAACGTGAGTTTTTCTCCAAATTGGCCTGTTTCCATTAAGAAAATGTATTTTCGTAATTTCAATTTGTGCAACTCCATGGTTAGCGGAAATGCAGCTAGTGTGTAGTCCATCAACGTGTGGAGATGAATGAAAATCACTCCTTGTCAGTAAGGTAGTTTTACTGTAAAAGTTTAATCTCTCTGCATCTGCTTTTATGGCTTTGAAACAGTTTAATGGAGAGGAACTTGGAGAGAACATGTTTTTCCTGTTTTGCTTGGTTCTGGATCCCCGAGGTGACATGAGCATCTTTATTCAGTCTGAAGCAGAGGACAGGTCTTTCAGCTTTTTTTCTATTCAGCACCGTTTACATTAGTGAAGTTACAAATCTGGCTGCTGTTTTATAGTTGATTCTTACCAGCCACTCAATTGTTTAGTGACTTATTACAAAATATGGCTGTGTTGCCACATTCAGAAGGCCTTTATTTAAATCTTTATTGAACCAAATAGTCAGTAAATGGCTTAGGAAACAAGAAACATGAGAACCTTAAGCCAATCAGAATTGCCTGCTTTTACCATCTTCTTGTCTTGTTTGTTCTTGTGTGCTGTCATTCTCCTCTTTCTGATGGAAAGAAGCAGTGATGTTTTACCTCCCAGTCCATACTGTGAAATAAGAGAAGTGCAGCCTGAGCTGAGCGTTTGTTTCATGCCTCCATGCCTGTAAGGAATGGGTCGGTGTTAGTGGTGGCTTCAATAAACAGTATTTGAATAAACAGATTCTCCAGTTTATAGTTTCCTTTTGTAACTTGATCTTCTTCTCATGGATAATAGACTCCAAAGCTGCTTGCGGTATTTTCATTCTTTTGTAAATTTTACCCTCTGAATTCTTTTCCCCCATTCGGGGCAATTTTGAGATCGTCCAGTAAACAGCCATTTCATTTAATGTAAATAGATGAACAAACATGTGTGTAACCTTTCAAATGAAATAACCTTGTTGTTTAGTTCACTTCGTATTAATTAACAGTGACCTGTGAGTGTACATGAGTCACCAGAAAAGGCTGAGAAGTGATGCTCAAACTTTAGCTCTTACGCTGTAGAACTCTTCTAAACTATTGTTTCCTATCTCTGCTGCCTTATTTCTTTAAAATTAAAATCAGAATGAAGTGTGAAAAAATAATCAGTCTGCAAGTGAAACTGTATGCAGCACTCCTTTTCACAGTTACAGTCTGTCGGTACCATGCTGAAGAAACGTTCGCTTCGTGACCATCATGACTGCTAACTGTGAGCATTATGCAGGGTTAGTTGGGTTGTTGACTGCTGTGTGTTGCAGGAGACGTGGTGGGCCTTGCTGCTGCTGGTGGCGCTGCTCCCTGTGGGCCGGTCCTTCTATGTCCCCGGCGTCGCTCCTCAGGACTTCCATGAGGGCGCTCAAGTAGAAATTAAGGTGAAGCTGAAACTCTAGTAAATTACTTGCAATTTTCATTTGACATTTCACAATAAGGATGTGGTTTGAAGTTGTGTAATGTTCTCCAGGTTTTAATCTGATTGGTGAGCTTTTAGAAAGTTGCACAAGACACTAAAATTGATCTTCTGTCCCTTGTTTTATTTGTTAACTCCCCAGTTAACAGTTTTTATGAGCCTTCTGTGTCCCTGTTCATTTTTAAGAATCATAATTGGGTTGGTTTTTTACAATTGGTAAATTTCAAAGCAGAAAATTTCTAAATATTTTGTAAACCAGAATTGTCAAAAGATATAAGATAACATCTTAGCATCGAAAACTATCAGAAATTCAGATGAAACAAGCTGCCAGCTATTTAAACTGGCTATTTATTCCTGGGATTTTCCTCCCAATTCAACATAAATGGTTAATAATTATAGACTTCTACACTAAAAACAGCAACTTCCTTTTATAAATTCAGCATTCATGTCTTCAGTTGTCTTTATTTAGGATGTAGAGGTACTTGATGCTTTTCAATGTTTCCTGTTTGCTGTAGACCAGGTGTGTGTGTGTGTGTGTTTGGATGAGCCAGTATTGACTGAATGCGATTGTCTTTTCAGGCGGTGAAGCTGACCAGCTCCCGTACACAGCTTCCATATGAATACTATTCCCTGCCTTTCTGTAAGCCTGGCTCCGTCTTATACAAGGCGGAAAACTTGGGTAGGTGGGCTGCAGATTGTGGCATTGATTTTTATAAAGTTGCTTGTTTCATGTTTAAAAAAAACCAACTAATTTTCTATGACTTAGATGACTTTATGTGTATGGTTGAGCACAGCTTGTCAGACAGTACTTGGGGCCCGTGTGCTGTAGAGAATTTAAACTTGATTAACATTATTTACAAAACATATTTACACTCTCAAAATGGGTTTTGCACACCGGTACATTGCTAGCTGTCAGTTTTTTTATTTACCTATTTTCCATAATGTCTCACAAAGCTCAAGGGAATTTTGTGTTAAATCTTGTTTTAACAGTTTTTTTTTTTCTTTTAATTTGTGTTAAAACAGATACTATATTAAAAACTACTATATTAGAAAGAGTGTTAATTTGAGTATGTTCAACACAGCAAAAACTTATTGGGCTATTTGTGTTTTATTTTTGTCCATTTTGCTGCAGTCAGTATGCTAAATGCTGCAGAAAACGCTGCAGTCTTTGTTTTGATGGAATATTACAAGATATCACGATATTTTGTAATATCTTGTAATATTTGATGCCAGCAGCCAATCAGAATCAGACTGATACATAAATTTGGGTTATAACTAGAGATACACTGATCCAATATTAATATCGGTATTGAAAAAACGTTTAGATCGGGTATCGGTGACAATGTGCCCGATCCATGAGGGCAGATCTATTCAGTCTAATTCCATGCTTTGTGCTCTGAGTGATGTCAAGCTTTATTATGTATTTTACATTATTTTTAAAATGACTAATTGCACTTTCTGAACTATTTGAAAGAAGGTTTTTTTTAAACATGTTTGACCTGTTGTTTTAGTCAGTTTTTGTTTGTTTTATTTTATTTTTATTTTTTTCACATTAACAGTTCTACTCCTAATTCCACTAACTCAACAAATTAAAGTTGTGTTGTTTTTACATATTTGACCAAGCTTGTGAAGCTATTGGTATATTTTAATAAACTATTTTAATAAACATAGTTATTATTATTATTTATTTTATAAAATAAATAATACATTTATTTGAGTAATCAAATAAATGTGTAATTCAATACATTTATATCTGTGTTTTAAAAAAGGAAACATTTTAAGTCAGTTCAGCACTGTTTTTTGTATCGGATCAACATCAGCCTATATCTGCATTAGATGTGAAAAAAGTGGATCACTGGTTAAAACACGAGCAAAGTGAAACTCTAAGAAAGTTATATATTTTGGATAAGACAGTAACTGTTTATAATTAAACAGTTTCTCACAATAGCAAAAAAAAAACATTTGGCAGTAAACAGATTAGCTCATCTTTGTACTGTTCAAACTCACTAAAATGGACGTACTAAGAACAATTTAAAGGAGCAATCAAATTTGTAAAATGTAATTTTTTTTGCTGTCTTTTTATGTTTTTTTGACTTATTGTTGATATTATCAGATATTTAAATATCTTGTGCCTTTGTTTCTAATATCTTTTATCCTGGTGTTATTTGCACAGGTGAAGTTTTACGTGGCGATCGCATTGTGAATACGCTCTACAATGTAAAGATGAACGAGGATAAGAAATGTGAGCTGATGTGCGACAAGAAGAAGCTCAACGTGGAGGAGAGTAAGCTGGTGGCTGAACGAATCCAGGAGGAGTACTACGTTCACCTGTGAGTTCATCCCATTTACCCTCTAATGCCCGTTTATCAAGCAGAAAACCAACAAGCTAGTTCCAAATAATTGCTCTTAATATAATCTAACATGGTTTAGGAACCAGTTTTTAATTTCCCACATTAAATTTGTGTTTATTTTAGTTTTTACTTTCTTGCATTTATAATCTAACTGTGGGAATTAAAGGCTTGGGAACTGAAAACCAAATGAAGGGTGGTGTTGATGTGTGTTATTTCAGGATTGCAGACAACCTTCCAGTTGCCACCAGGTTGGAGTTTTACCCCAACAGAGAAACGGGAGGAGATGAGGAGCAGAAGAAGGTTGCAGATAAAGATGTTCAGTTTGAACATGGCTACAGACTTGGCTTCGTCGACAACAACAAGGTAGATTTCACACTCGCCTCTTCAGAAGCAGCTTTTGCCTCATTACTCACTAACTGACTCAACCCGAGGAATGCACGTTTATCATTAACCATACAAGTGAATGTGAATATAGTAGGATATAGTTAAAAATCATTTTATTTTTGTTTTCTGATAAAGGCTTTACATGAACTTTTGAATGTCGCATAAAACAATTTAAATACTTTAAAAACAGTGAGTTAAAGATTCTATGTAGATTTTATGAGCTGATAAAGCCCATCAGTAAATATTAGGGGTGCACCGATTTTTCAGCCAGTTTATCGACCAGCCAATTTATCGGTGCTGATTTCCTTAATTTGGGGAGATCGGTGATCGGCCGATTTTTACATATGAAGCCGATCTTATCCACCAATCTTATCTAATTTGACAAAGGTCTAAGAATCACCCTCTGTCCTCTTCTGCTCTCAGACGAGAAAGGTTTGACTGACAGACCAGCCCACCAAGTTATGTCTGCACATTTATAATTAACAATAGTGACCCCACTGCTGCCAACTCAACAACTTTCTTGATATATTGAGCAACATTTCAGACAAAAAAAAATGGTATCGGCCAAAATTGGAATTGGCAGGTTAAGCTTTTTAAAAGATCGGTAATTGATGATCAGCCAGAAAACTGCAATCGGTGCACCCATAGTTAATATATAATGTGAATTTTGAGCGAAATTTTAAAATGTCTCAAAACAGAAAATAAAACACAAATTAAACACGTTTGCGTCTACTGGTTTGGAGCGAATCAACCAGGCTGTGCAAATGTTAATAGAACACTAATTAAATCCTGTGTTTTTTTTTTTTCTTCCAGTTTTATCTGCACAACCACCTGTCCTTCATCCTGTACTTTCACAGGGAGAAAGTAGAAGAGGGAGAGACTCACAACTACAGAGTGGTGCGTTTTGAGGTTGTACCTCAAAGTGTCAAAGTGGAAGGTTGGTATCAACACGAGCTTTCCAAAAGCTTTTGCTTTGGTGATTGTGTCAAACTCGAGGTTAACGCTAACTATTCTGATCAAATGAAGCAAATGTGTCGGTCAGAAAGTCACCTGTTGCTTTGAATTTCTTTTCCTTTTTTTGATATGTAGATCTAAAGGCTGTTGTAACAGAAAAAACCTGCACTCTGCCTGAAGCCAGTGGTTCTGCCCCCCAGGAGATTGACCCAACCAAAGACAACGAGATTCTTTTCACATATTCTGTCACATGGAAGGTCAGCGAAATGAAACCCTTTCTAATCAGAAGTCAGACCTGGTTGTAAAACATCTAAAGCCCTCAATATAAATAGATCAGCTGGTCTGACGCAAAGAGTAAACAAAACAACACTTCTGATGTTTTTAAATTGAATTTAGAAAATATGTTGGTCAAAAAACAGTCATCGTAAGGATTTAACTGAATAAGATAAAAGTGGTGTGCAGTTGGCATAAAATTAAAATGACCATCCATGCTTGTTTCAAATGGCAAAACTCAGTTCATCTAAATCTATTAGCTTTTTTTTTTAAATTAACAGATTTTTTTTTTGTTTTTTTTGCTGCTGATTCTGATGGATGTGGTGATGAACCGGGTTTATTTCGCTTAAAAGACAAACCTGTTTATCTTCTAACAGTAATTGGAGATCTCTTCTCAGACACTTAGGCCATCTTTAAGTCCCTACTGAGAATCTTTAAAATGCGTTTAAGAGCATTTACCATCCGGTGCCATAAGATTTCAGTGTGTTTTCCTGATTTCAAAGCTCGAGTTCACTGTTTGGCCTGCCGTTGTTGGTTACGTTTTGATATCAAACCAGGTATCAAAACCTCGTTTGATACCTGGCATCAAACGAGGTATCTATCTAAAAATCTATCCGTTTAGATTAGGTTTATCTAAAAAAAAAATTGATAAACCTAATTAATATTTTCTCAGTTTGAGTCCCTGAACTTCTTGTCTCATTTGCACAGGAGAGTGAGGTGAAGTGGGCCTCTCGCTGGGACACATACCTGACCATGAGTGACGTCCAGATTCACTGGTTCTCCATCGTCAACTCTGTGGTGGTCGTCTTCTTCCTCTCTGGTACGTCTGTAAGGCTTCATGATCTTTGTTCACTACTCCAACAAACCTCTGAGGCCAGAAATGGGACAACAGATTAGAGTAAATGACAAGCAGATGAACTCTATATAAAGTGGTTTATGCTCAGATTTTTGTCTGTAAAAATGTTTTAAATGATCTGTCATTGTATTTCCTCTTCACAAAAAATACTATACTGTTGATCTGTCACATGAAATTCCAGTAAAATCTACTGATGCTTGTGGGTGTATCTTGACTTTTCAAAATGTTCAACTAGCATGAAGAGACTTTAATTATGGGAGTTGACAGAGTGGAGAAGCTACAACCATAAAGTGACAAAAAGTTGTTGTTTTTTCTATAAAACTTATATAATATTTTGGTTTTATCTATGTATTAGCACTCGTACTTTGATTTTTTTGAAAATCAGAACCATAGTTCTTCTACTACTTCCTGTAGAGGAAGGAGTAGAACTGCCTCTACAGGAAGTTTGTGTTTCAAAGTCTTCGTGTTTTGCACCAGTGTTAAAATATTGCCATTACAGTTTTGTGAAATAAAGCAATCTTAATATGGCCACAAATGAGAATCAGCTTTTATTGTCATCATACAGCAAAGAAAACAGACAACATAGGACATGGGCAGACTGGTGCCTGAGGCTGCAGCCCTGGGAGGCACTGCCCTTTCATAAGATGAGAAAAACAACATCATATCTCACACTGTCAGATTTGACTCTGACCCTACAGGACACAGTATGAGGTTGAAAAAGAAAAACCACATCATCGATTCCTAGCACTACAATTTATTGTTGAAAAATTAGGTTTTTGTTTTTTTTTTTCTTGGTGTGTTTCGATTAAGTAAATTTATTTTCAAAATGTCAAATCGCGCAATTATATGGTTTGTGGAAATGCAGCTACTGTTTCATTCTAAACGCCACAGAAAGAGTTTGTCTTTCTGGTTGCATGAACCCTTTTTCCTTCTCTGCCTTTGTCTTCCAGGGATTTTGAGTATGATCATCATTAGAACCTTGCGGAAGGACATTGCCAACTACAACAGAGAGGACGACATTGTAAGAAAATACAAAGAGTGTTTGCTCCAACATATCGTTTTCATCTTTGAGATTTTGTCTGTTAAAATCTTCTTTTTATTCACAGGCTCAGTCCTGTTTTTTCTAAGTAGTGTTTCTCATTTCTAACCAGGAAGACACGATGGAGGAGTCGGGATGGAAGAACGTCCATGGCGATGTCTTCAGACCACCGCAGTATCCCATGATCCTCAGCTCCCTGCTGGGCTCAGGGATCCAGCTTTTCTGCATGATCCTCATTGTCATCTGTGAGTTTGGCTTCTGTCCTCTTTGCTCTACAAAACTTTGCCATTTTCAAAATTCTTATTCCTTATATGATTTTTTTTTTTTTTTTTTAATTCACGTGACCAGCATGCTTGCTTATGAAGTCTAATATGTTCGTATGAATGAATAAACATGTAATAAAACACAAACTACTGCAGCTGTTTTAGAGGTCATTGTTCAGCCTGCCTGTTCTCACTAAGCTTATCGTGTTTTTACCTCAGATCCACATGGTTGAGTCGTTCCTCAGATAATAACGGCGTCTGTTTTTGCGTTGCAGTTGTTGCCATGTTGGGCATGTTGTCTCCATCGAGCAGAGGAGCCTTGATGACTACTTCATGTTTCCTCTTCATGTTTATGGGGTAAAAGCCTCAATAGCTGCTTTAAATCCTCACAGAAACAGGATAAGGTGATGTTTCAATGAGAATACTTCTAACCTTTGGATGTTTTTCCTTCAGTGTGTTTGGGGGTTATTTTGCTGGCAGACTGTACCGCACACTAAAGGGCCATCGGTGGAGGAAAGGAGCATTTTGTGTAAGTCAATCTTTAGTGGGGTTTTTTTTGTTTTTGTTTTTTTATATGTTCTTATGACAGCAGAATTGTATTCATTTCATCCAGTCTTACTGGTTGAAGTATAGTTCACTAGAAACTGAAGACATGGGACAATAAAGCTGCAGAATAAGTTGTTGTCTCTGGTCAAAGTCAGGCACAGGGCAACGTAGTCTAAAACATTCCAACACAAACATCCAGAGAACAACAGTGATGCTCTACTTATTCACTGTAATGTGTCTCAAAACAACTCTGGAGCCTTGTTTCAAACTAAGCAATTTGTAAGGTTTCAGCTGTGTTTAATGCAAGGTTTGTATTGTTATTATTTAGATAAAACTGTAACATTAAATTCATTCAGTGATCTCCAAGCATGAAACCAGCTTTATGTTTTGCTGGTCGAGTTTCGGGGAGCAACTGGGGCTGAAGTCTGTTTTTCATTCGTTTCTCTTCCAGACGGCCACTTTGTATCCCGGAGCGGTGTTTGGAATCTGCTTCGTTCTAAACTGTTTCATTTGGGGGGAACACTCCTCGGGAGCAGTGAGTTCAGTCCTTTTAAACCCAACCAGAAAGGTTTTCTACTGAGAGTAAATGCTCTGAAGATTTTCTGGATCGAAAATTATAATCGGTGTAAAATATTTCAGTTCATACTTGCTGTTATCTGAGGTGGTCATAATGAGAAAAATACTTTCTGGTGATGTCACAATGCCATACTGTGATCTAAAGTGGTCAGTCTAAATATTTTAGATCAGCATGTTGATAAAATCAACACGTTGTGATGACTTCCTGAAGGCAGAGTGTCAGAAAGAGCAGGGGTTTTTAAAGAGACGGAGGTCTAATTTCAAGACATTAAATTACAAAGTCAAATTTCTTTAAGTCATATTTGACATATATACCATTTTCATAACTGAAGGTAACATTGTTACTTGATTGTGCTATAAAACAAAGGCAAGACAGGATGAAGGCTAAACATTAGCTTTTCATGGTCGATTTCTCTCATCTGATGTTTCTTGACGTTTCTCTTGGTCTCCTGTCCTGCTCTGGATTCCAGGTTCCCTTCACCACCATGCTGGCCCTGCTGTGCATGTGGTTTGGCATCTCCATGCCTCTGGTCTACCTGGGTTACTACTTTGGCTTCCGTAAGCAGCCTTATGATAACCCGGTGCGCACCAACCAGATTCCCCGCCAGGTCCCGGAGCAGCGCTGGTACATGAACAAGTTTGTGGGGTGAGTGTGCTCCAGATCCTCGTCCATTCTATTTATAGACTTATAGTGCATCAACTAAAAGTTTTCTTTTCTTTCTCTACCTCCCAGAATCCTCATGGCTGGGATCTTACCGTTTGGCGCCATGTTCATAGAACTCTTCTTCATCTTCAGTGTAAGTCTAAGCTCATCTTTTCAGTTCTAAGGAAATTCTTCCCTATTATTAGGAAATGAAAATGAAGGTTAGATCTCAGGTCCTGTAACATCCTCATCAATGTGTTTGTGTCGCCACCTACAGGCCATCTGGGAGAATCAGTTTTACTACCTCTTTGGCTTTCTGTTCCTGGTTTTCATCATCCTGGTGGTGTCCTGCTCTCAGATCAGCATTGTGATGGTCTATTTCCAGCTGTGTGCAGAGGTAAGGCCGCCAAGACGCAGGAGTGTCACTATGGTTATATGGCGTTTCATGCCACACGGAGAACGATGACGTGCTGTGTCTGTGTTCCTCACCGTCAGGACTACCGGTGGTGGTGGAGAACGTTCCTGGTGTCAGGAGGCTCTGCTTTCTACGTCCTGATTTACGCCGTCTTCTACTTTGTCAATAAGGTAAAAACCAGGAGAACTCAACTCTGATCAGAGCTGTCCTTAAACATTCTGCATCACCATAAACTGCTGTCTGATTAAAAGTCTCTAAAAGTTTAACATGGATGTAGAAAATTAATTCAATTCAAAAAAACTTTACTGATTGCCGAGGGAAGTGAAATGTTGTTGCTCATATTATCCCAGTTTGTTCAAAATAATTGTAGTTGATACTGATGGTAGGGCATGCAGCCGGCATTCATTTTCTGACTAGAGGAAGGGTTGCTTGATGTTAGGGAATATTTGACACTATTGCTGAAAAGTGCAAAAATAACTCTCTTCTTTGTTTACCATTAAAAAGCACAACTCGCATATGGAGGCCTTAGACCTTGACGTGGGTGTCGCAGGTTCGATTCCTGACCTGGTGACCTTTGCCGCATGTCTTCCCCTTCTCTCAATACCGTTTTTCCTGTCAATTAACTATGAAATAAAGGCCACTAGAGCCAATAAAACCTTTTGGGAAAAAAAAGGTTTAAGTCTTAAATTCACGTATATAAAATTGAAGCCTTAAAATGTTTTAAATTCCTTTAAATAAAGAAGTCTGCCTTAAATACATTAATCACAGATGACAGGACTATTTATTCTGTAATTTATTTTTCTCGTGAGACTTTTCTAACAGGCAAAAGCTTTAGTGGCATAAAGACATCTTCATTACATTCTGAGTCAAGGTGCTTGAGGCTACCGCTAATTAGCTGCTAATATACCTGTACCAGCTAGCATTTTGTGTCTATCATTGGTAAGTGTAAATTATCACCAGTTGACTGGATGACATTCATGTTCACCACCGGCTCACTTCCTTTGCCAACCCATACGGTGCTATGTGCATCCTGGGCAAGAAAAAAAAAGAAACAAACTTCACTCTACCATGTAAAATATGCAATTTTCCTTTGTATGTTTCTATTATAATGAAAATCTTGAATTTCAATCATAGTGGTTTTAAAATGTCTTAAGTTTGAGTTGGTGAAACCTGCAGGACCCTGTTGCAGGACGACGTTCAATGGCAGGGGGTTTGAATCAGGGAAGAAGGAGGGAAACTATCAGTCAAACTGCCCTCCATTTTAGAAATGTCAAACTTAGTCAAACTGAAAATATTTATATTTACAACATGAGTGAGTCGCTGTCGCTGTTTTCTCAGCCAAAACACCTTCCCTGCTAATTGTTTGGGAAACGGTACAAAATGTGTTGCTAGCAGCTAAAATGGTGGTTATCAGGCTTCCTCCTCTCCAAACGGTCTCTCTAACATGACCTCTGTCTGTTTCAGGTGTTTCTGATTTAAAAACTCAAAATCTCTTTCTGTGTGTGTGATTTGTCTCTAGCTGGACATTGTGGAGTTCATCCCCTCCCTGTTGTACTTTGGTTACACCACCCTCATGGTGTTGTCCTTCTGGCTGCTAACGGGCACAATCGGTTTCTACGCAGCCTACATGTTCATCAGGAAAATCTATGCCGCGGTCAAGATCGACTGATTCCTCGGAGCCGCTGCTGTTCTCCTAATTCTTGGTTTATTTTTCTGAATTTTTTTTAATACGTTTGTTTTTTTATTATTGTTATTATTCTTTTTGTCCAACAAGCACTGACTTGTGTGCAGAAGGAACTGGGGGTTTATTGATATGATGCAACAACCCCATCTGCTGGCCACATGGTGGAATAACAGCCAAACAGCAGAGCTTAGCTTGCTGTTTTCCCCCGTCCCGCCCTCCTCTCCTCCGTGTCGGGACAGAGACCTGGACGGTGTCTTCCTCTACTGGGAATGTTTTGGTGTCTCCGGTCGCCTCACCCTGCTCACACACACACAGCGGGCCAAAGCTTGTCAGTTAAATTTCTGCACTTTTTTTTTTTTTTTTTTTTTTTTTTTTTTTTTTTTCCCATTTAAATTTTTTTTTTTTGCCCCCACCTTTTTTTTT